GTACGCATGAATTTATTCCCGCTATGTAACCTCTCGGCATTTGTTCAGCTTCCAATTTATCTTGGTTGCCTCGCCGACTTGCTGCTCTCCGTCGTGGTTGTGTATGTACCTATCTCGGGGCTCGGATCTTCTACTCGTTGTTATGCGTGTTCCGTCCTTCACAAAAAGCACAAATATTTCGGCATCGCGACCACATTGGCAGTTTCAGGGGATACGGCGCCAGCTGGATACCTTTGGAAGGATCATGGTTTCAAGCTTTCCGAGCTATATTCTCAGGCCCCACTGGAAAAGCAAGCGCTCTGTCGAAACAAGCGTCGCAAATTGCGCTCTTACTTTCCGTTCATCAATTCATGTCTCGGCGCCTCTAATTGTGAGATACCTGTTCGGCCTCAATAAATGTCAAGCGATGAGTTGCTCTCTCCTGGCTCTGAGCGACATGTGAGGCTGGTATTGACAGGGTGGAATCTATATACGAGCATTTATTTGATGGGGGTCGGGGCTTCAAGAGGCGCGGTGGCGTGGTGGTCTACTCACGAATCGACGTGTTTCGTTTCCATACCCGCGCGCCACATTGGGTGTCAGAGATAGACCAGTCAAGTGTTGCTTTATTGGAGAGGTGTAAAGCCTCTGCTTGACAGTCTGTTCATGTCGAGATCATGAGAGCCGAAGGAACTTCAAACAAATATGCATTGATTGGTTTCTTGCCAGCTGCACTCTTGCGTCCCATTATCAGCGCTCATCTCTTGCAGATGAGCACTTTGTCTATACGTTCCGTTGCTTATGTACGCGGAATATGCGCCAGTAAACAGGTCACACGAGCGGGAGGGAAAATATCACTGTCAGGTGATCGCGTCAGCACTGCTCTACTCCCTAACGCCGTCGAACGCTCTTATCCTCAACCACTACCATCGAAGCATCCGCCTATTCTGAGAACACACCCAGCTGCTCCTTGATTGTTTCTCTGCTCTTGTGCTTGAGCATCGCCGTTTACATAGCAATCTACGTGCAAACCGACACATTCTACATACTACCACTTCATATCATGTTCGACGACCATGACGCGCCTTGGTCCTCCAGCTCGTCTCCTCCATCTTCACCAACTGCTTACGTCGACTCGTCTCCCTCTCCTGCCCCTTATCACGACGAAGACGCGTCAAGCGACTACGGAGACGTAGATTCGTTACGCGTATCAGCTTTGCAAGACCCATTCGCGGCGTCGGCGAAGAGCGAGTCGTGGAGGGTGCCGGACTATGAGAAAGGGAATAAGATGCGCCGCCAGGAGTCACCAGGATCTCCTTCCCGTGTTCGCAGTAAAAAACCTCGTCTTCTTAGCCCTGAATCATCATTCGGAACACTCTCGTCGTCCCCTCCTCTTCCTCGCCCGACGCTCCCAACCAAGGAAGACTTAGAGCAAGACATATGGAACAGGGCCATTGATAGACTCTACCAAGTAAGGAACGGGACCGTCGATCTCAGGTAACCCTTTTGCTGTACTTCCTTCCGACCAGAAACTGACGTTGAACTTCAAGCGATTCCGGCGTCACTTCGCTCTCAGATCACACTATCCAAGAGCTCCACGGTTATTTCTCCCTTCCAGATCGCGGCGAGAATTTAGATTCTCCAAGTCCAGCGCCGCTTCAATTTCCCTCCTTCTCTAACTTCAAACGGAGTTACACGGCTCCTGCTGTGCTCTCTCGCGACCGCCCGGGCTTGCAACTGCATCTCTCCCGCTGCCAAATCTCCAAGCTGCCCATTCGTTTCTTCGCCTTGAAACAGCTGACCATTCTCGTTTTGCGTAGGTTTCCTGCTTGTGTTTATAAACGAGATGCTAACCTCGACGGTAGGAAACAATATGCTCGAGACCCTGCCACCTGAGATATCTCAACTGACAAATCTGCTTGAGCTTAATATATCTGGCAACCAACTGGCTTATCTGCCGTCAGAGCTGTTCAGCATGGAACTGATAAATCTATGGGTTTTCCCGGGCAACAAGTTCATAGAAAAGCCTGATGCAGAAAAGTCTGCTGTAGAGCCGCCGGCTGCACGCTCGTCCTCATCGAATCAGTTGTTCCCTCGAGAGAAATCTCGCGGGCGCGTTGCAATTTCTGACACCGTCAGCACCCCTTCCAGTCGCATCCCTACGCTCGTCGAGTTGTGCTTTCGAGTGCTCTTCTCAACGGATGTTGGGGCACCCACAAAGCGTCAAATACTTGACAGCTATTACATGCTCCCCCTTCCAGACCCTGATCATATCATACCTCCCCTCATCCGCCGGACCTTCCACGCGATTCATCGAGGCAGTGTCGTCGACCACGATACAACTCTAGTCGAGGACGAACCACCCAGTCTTGGGGTGTGTCCCTCTCCTCGCCACGGTGACCGTCAATCTGTCTTCTTGACCCCTGCCGAAGAAAGATTCACATGGGAGGCAGTTGTCGCTGGTAAGGAGGTCGGGGGATATGTACCAATACGGTGGCGTGGTTGTTCGTCAGGATGCCTGGACTTTTTGGGCGGCGCTGAGGCCGGGAAGAAGTCTCCTCCATTGATTCAAGAGGAGCTTGAGGTCAGTGACGCTGATCCTGGTGGTGTGGTACAGCAGGTGCAGCTGAACAAAGACGGGTTTGGGGAGGAAGATTTCGACGACGATGAGTGACAAATGTATTACTATAGTGCTGGGCGACTTTCAGCCGTTGGAAATCAATCCAACAACGGTTCAAGATGCAGCAAGTCCGGGACTGCATACTGACAATCACGCATCTAATGAACGGTCTATCTCGACGGTACATGATCTCTCAGCCACCTAATAGTCTCCTCGTTCGCATTCAACAGCGGATCCAACCCGCCGAACTCCCAAGATTGAGCGATGGGGCCTTGATCAGGCAAATTTGGAGGGAATATCGACAAAGCTGCAAGAGATAGATAAGTGTGATATGGGTCTGCCAACTCGTCAGTCCCAGAATCATGAACGAAAACAGAAAGCTGACCTGGTGTTTCGTCTGACATTTTAGCAATTCCACCAAACTTGAATTGGCAGCGCGAAATGAATTTGGCGTGCGATTCGGTGTCGATTAGGTCCACCGCGCCGAGAATCTGAAAGGAAAGTGTATACGGGAAGCCTCTGAATGCGGATATTCAAACCTTGAGCGCTGCACCGCACCAAAAGCTGTAGCACGCGTCCGCCGGTTTGCCAGTTCGGCCACAGAAACCACCGGATCCATGTTGATTGTGAATGAGCCAGTGTATCGACTTTTCTCGTTGTTCTTGGGACAGAGGCAAGACACCTTCTGCTCGAGGGGCAAGGTGCAGAGACGCCAGCGCGATATATGTCGGTCCGCCTGAAGCGATTGTCAGATTGACTTGTGTACTAGTGCGATCCACCCACCGGACGCTTCGCAGAACGGAGCCTGACCATAACCCCCTTCATACGTCTATCAGGAAGTAAGCGAAGTTCAAAATAACGGGTGGATCCTTACTCTGCACGTCTCGATGAACTTTAGAGCTTTCTCGACGTTGACCCCGGACCAGTCGTCGAGCATATCGCAGATGCAAAAGGCACAGTATAGTGTGCGCAGATCGGTTTCGCCGTTACCGGGGACGATGGAGAAGCTATTGGCTGTTGGAATTGCGACAACAAGATAAAACGTCCTGACCTTCCATCGTCTCGCTGGCATGCACGTATAAATTGGACAAGCCCAGCACGGTCTAATTTCGAAAAGTCATCTCGCAGAATGGCCAAGGCGAGCAAAGCAGTGTAGGTCATGACGAGATGGGGACCGTTGTAGTCTGCATACGGTTCCTGCGCGCTCTGAGCCGACGTTGATGCAGCAGAAGGAAACCAACCGGAGTAGAAGAGTCGGGGGTGGCGAACGGACTGGGCCTAAATCCAGTGCCGTGAACACCTTCTGAGGGGAAGTCAGGATTTGGAGCCCAGCTTTGAGGCACGAGGATAGCGACGTGTCTGCTGCTCCCATATCCATTCCTTCCACGATATGCGCTCCCTTTCAGTCGTTTTTGCTTGTACGGCGTCGAGTAGATCAAGCGACCCCAGACAGTAGAAAATCAGAGCCAGTCTAAGAGTCTGTCAGAATTGTGGGTCCGTGCAGTAGATCCAGCATGCCGAGAAGAATCCAGCTCTGATTGAGACGCAGGCAAGCCAGACAGACAGCGGTTTACATGGCCGATGTGTCCCCCTCGCGCAAGTTTTGGGAGAGTCATGGAAAGTTGCTTTACTTACGTGATCGATCAAAACTGGACTTGACCGCTTCACCAACAGTGGCAGATGCTTTTGGCTGCAAGTGTCCCTCTGGCTTGTTACATTCGACAAGTTTCTTTTTGGTTCAGCAATCGAGGGTCTATACATCTCGTTTTTGTTCTCGGAGCAGTCAATGACTGAAAAATCAACAAAAGACCGGAACCACTGATGGTGAAGCGGTCATCCTACATTCGAGAGTTTGGGTGACCCTGCACAGTCGAATACCACAGTCTTTCGCCGTATTACTTCAGCTTGCTCTCCCGCCTGGTGTTTTGATCTGCTTGGACTCTGGTGCTTCACTGTTTCGCATACCCTGATGGTGAAGCCGTCAGCCTACGTCTGAGTATAGCTACTCCGGTCAAAGCTCAACTCTGGCTACACATTGGACAAAGTGTAACATCCTCTCACTGTTGACTTCTTGCTGGTTCGGTAGCGCGCCCTCCCTCGCCCGAGCCGCGGCCATCTGCTTCAGATATTGTCGGCTCCGACGACTGCTCTCAATTCCTGTTCTCTCCGTCAACTCCATGCTGCCGGGAACTTTCACGCACACTCCACCACTCACATCCAGACAGTCACTCCGTCCGCCCGACACCTAACCCATGCTTCGACATCCTCCGCTCTGAAAAATACCAAATTGGGAAATCTCCAAAATATCGCATCAAATTTTGATGTGAGCTCTTTCCTCGCTTCCTCCGCTCTTTCTACCACCAGCTACCACCTCAACGCACCTTCCTCTACTCTTCCCAGCACACCAATGGTGAAGCGGTTATCATGCTTGCCTTCCACTTTCGAACACGTGACTTTCACGTGCTAAAATCGTGACTTTCAGCAAGCGGCAGGGGTTCGACTCCCCTTTGGTGTACGCTTTTTGAAGCGAGAAGGCGCTTCCATGATGTGGTTTCATACCTTTTTCGACTCAGCCGTGAATCTAACCCCTCCCCGAAGTTGAGCGATAGCAGCACGGAAAAGAGCTCCGAACCACCCCTTTCAATCCCGATCGCGGGTTTTTAGGCCCTAGAATTCAAGTCAAACCGTAACCATGCAATGTGTATTCCTCGATCCTCCTTGAGTGGATTCCCTCGTTCAGGAAATGACTACATTACGCATTGAATCCGGTATCGCAACGGTTCTCTGACTGAGTTTTAGCGGTGTACATATGGCTGGCTTGCCGCTTACTGAAGCTGATTCAAAGTCTAGACATCGGAAACGCAAACCTCACAGCTTGTTGTCGATTTGTCTGCGAAGACTCGACTCTCCTGATCCTACTCTGCTCGAGCAGCTCTAACTCATCATAGTGCTGGAAGATCCTGCGGACCGATGTATCCTGAAACCTCCATCCATCAAGTTGTCAGCGACCAGTTGACCTCCACTCACCCACATTTCTTTAGCTCAACAAGGAACGATTTCTTAATCTGAGATACTCAGTCAAAACTACGCGTTACATAACATACAGGAAGATGCCAGATAGAGACATGAATACGTAGAGTAAAGATAAATATTATGCAAAATGAGCGTGTGCGATGCAGAAAACATGGCCGAAAAAAGCGTTCATGAAACGTCTCCAAACTCGGACACCCCTCCTCCGTTGAACATCGCCTTCAGCGTTTGTTCATTTCTCTTCTGTCGTACCCGCTCAGTTTCCTCCGCGCCGCCAGTCATCTTGAGCTTCTTCCCAGCAACAAAGTCGGTCAGCTCCGCTTGCATCTCGTCCGACCTGCTGGCAAGCTCCTTCTCCCGTGTCTTTTGGCTCGCCTCGATAGCCTTCATGCGCCGTTCAGGATCGACAGCCGCGCCACGTATTTCCATCATAACGGTACTCAAACCACCGTGCCCCTCCTCCGGAGGAGGTGGCCGAAAACCTTTCCTTCCGCCCCGATTGCCAATTGAGCCGGGCCCCCGAATGCTGACAATCTTTTCGACGTGTCCGTACACCTCTGCGAGCGCCTTGTGGTCTTCCAATAAATCCTCGAGGAACTGCTCCTGGTGCGTGAGGAATCCCTGTTCGTCTACGATATTTTGCAACTCCTCCTCCCAGGTCTTCTTCCACATCGGCTTGATCGTATTGATGTGCTCCTTCAGACTCTCCAACTCCGCGGCAACGCTCTCGATGTCCTTCTTGACATTCTTGAAATACAGCGGCTTGGGAGTGATCTGCCGCTTGATCACGTCGTCCTTAACGCCTTCGACGATGTCCTGGAGTTTCTCCACCTCCGTCAACACGTTCTGACTGCGAGTGTCCAGCTTCTTCTTGCCCGTATCGATATAGCCCCTGGCCCCACCAACATTAGCACTGGCAAGCTGTTTGACCGATTGCGTCTGGCTCCGAAGCGAACCCAACGAATCTTTCGTTGACTTCATGAACTCCGTATACAGCTGTCGCATAACCCCCAAGTCTCGTCGTAGATTCTGCACTTCGTCAAATTGAGTCTTGAGATCCGTGACAACGCGAGATGAATAATCTGATAACAAAGAGCCGCCTGTTATTTGCGGTTGCAGCGACTGGCCGGTGATCTGAGGCTGCACTGGTGGAATTGGAGTCGGCGGGTTTTTTAACGAGGAACCCTCGCCAACGAATCGGGAAAGTCGGCGAGCAACGGTTTGGAATTGACGGTCGGACGGTCGCATGGGCGCAGGAGTACTCTCGGCCAAAGGTTGTCCAACGATCGAAGGCAGGTGTACGGATTGCCTATTGTTGTTGACCGCTGTTTTGAGATCTTTGATGTCCTGCGATAGATGCGAGATCTGAGCGTCTATGTGCTGTTTGATCTGGTCGAGAGCTGTTGAACGAAATTAAACATCAAGACACAATCACGAGTTTGAAGAACGTACGCTCGATATTTAAAGAGAGCAAACACCTCTCTTTGACTTCTTCCATATCCTCCAGCTCATATTGAACTCCGCTCGACGGATCACGGATGTATATGGCAGGGAAATTCTCAAGACCTGGGTTGTACGAGAATTTGTCGACGAAAAGTACCCGAAGCGAAGCAAAGGAGAGGCGCGTGTCAACCGTCACCTTTTTCACTTCTCTTCCTAGCTGTAGGAAAACAGTGACGCGAGAAGGATCCTGCGACGCGACAGCAACATCGGAAGCAGGCTGTTCAACGGGAGATGGCGTATGGAGGATAGGTTCGGGAGTTCGAGCTGGAGTCGCAGGAAGAGGGGGTACGGGGGGTGTCCCAGCGGGCTCTTGACGGCGCTCCGGTGTGCCAACAGGGCTTGCCCGAGACCGTGAATTGCTCCTTCCCAAAGGAGGAGCGACCGGTTCCTCGTCGTCTACCTCAGTGAGCACGGCGAGATCACCTGGTGTGAGCGTCGATCCAGCGGCTAACGATCTTCTGTTGGCAGCGCCAGCACCACTTCGCGTAGAACGCTCCCGTGTTGCCGGAGCACCTGTCATTTTCGAAATGTTATATGTCGAAAAACGCTTCGACGCTCGACGTTCCAAGGTGTCATTCTTTTTCAGAGCAGCAAGGGAATTCTGCACAGCAGGCGCCTGAAGAGCATCTATGGGTGGCGTGTCTGGTGGAGGTGAAGTGGTGCCATTGACGCGGTCGAGATCCGGGCTGGGACTCGAAGGCTCAACGACAACCGCTGGAGTGTTGAGTGGCTTATCCACCAACGAATAGCGCTTTACGCTGGGCGGTACACTTGGTGCGGGTGGTGGCACTTGCGTTTGGTCGTTGGGAGAGTTTGAGGCAATTTGGTGTTGATCTTGGAAGGAATCAGCAGGAGGCGGGTCGATGGGAGGCGGAACTGTTCGCGCTTTGCGGGACTGCGAATCGGTGCGCGAAAAGTCTTCTGGGTCCGGGGTAGTGTCAGGTTCAGCAGGCTGTTCTGTGATTGAGGGCGCAAATCCTCCCACAAATGCATCGAGGGAACCACTATTATTCAGTGGCGAGCCATTGAGAGAAGGGGAAGCAGGGTCCCTACGTCGACTGGACTGCTGGGCACTTCTACGCGAAGAGGTACTATCTCTATCGCGTAGGGTAGTGGTGGGAGTGGGGGGAGTTCCTTCACCTTCCGTGAAGTTTGTCCGAGAGAGCTGGGAGCGATGAGATCCCTCTCGGCGCGAACGCGAAGAGCGGCTTTCGCGATCTCCGGAGTGCTCAGACCGATGGCGCTGATCAGAGACTATGCGTCGGTAGATGGACTGCTTGCCGCGAAGGCCTTGCAGCAAATTCGTTATTATTTGCCGCACGGTGGGGAGGTAAAGCTCGAGATTATCGGCAGTAGCGTCTTCCGCTAGGCATTGCTCCAATACGTTTCGTAGGTCATCCGGAACGGTCATTAGTTCACTTGATAGAGCGACTTTGTCAAAAACAATCAATGAACCAGAGATTGTGATATGACGCACCTCATATCGATATTGAAAGCTGCAAATGCAGCGACTGCAGCATTGAAGTCGTTTCCCAGCCGAACGTACACATCGCTGACATTAGTTTCGTCAATCTTCAGTAAACTCCATTGCGTGAGCGACTCGAGAAGTTGCTTGATAGACACAAGTAGACGAGTCACTGCAGATTCAACAGCAGGCTGCCCCAAAGTCAACTAGGACCCCAGAGTAGGATACATATCGGAACACACATGTGCAGCACTTCTGGAGCCTCCGCGTTCACTCCTGCTTGAGGTCGAGTGGGTTGAAGACGACGACATGTTGGTCTCGCGCCGTGAGCTGGAGCTTCCGGCGGCTGGATTTGAAGGCAAGGTAGACCTATTAGACATGGGAGTTACAGTTGAAGCCACTGGACGCGCGGTACATAGAATCGCACAGAAAGTGTGTGCTGTGACTGAGGTCACTCCGGTCACAAAGCAATTTCTCCTTCTCCGCTCATTGTATGAGGTGAATCTCATGCCTGCTACTGCTACGATCTTTCTACACCATTGACACGACTGAACAGAAAACATTCAGACTTCAATGGCCATTCCCCTTCACTCGGTTTGCCGACCGAAGTCCTCGCCGAAATCTTCGAGTTCGCATGTCCACTAACAGTCTCACATGTCTGCCGCCTCTGGCGCAACATCGCACTCAGCCTCCCCAGATTTTGGGCTGACAATATTGACTATCACCACGACCACACCGAGCTTGTCCAAGAACAGTTACGCCGCGCATTCAAATTTCCGGTAGCGATCAAACTTCATTCTCCCATGAATTATCATCGTGGCATTCAGAACCTTCATCTCGCATTAACAACATCCGCCGTTCACACTCTCGACATTCAGGGCCCTCCGAAAATGTTTGACGAGATCTGGCCCAACTTGGATGCATCTGTACTACAAAACCTCTCCCTATTTATCCCCTGGGCTCGAATGCCCCAAAATACTCCCTACCCTGGGCCCGATTTCGAGCTGCGTGCTCCTCAGCTTCGCTCAGTGTCATTGTCCAATTTCGTTGTTTCTTGGGATGCCACGATTCTCACCAACCTGACGCGTCTCCGTCTTCATTTGTCCACCTCGCAGTTTGCCCCATCGATGTCTCAAATTCTCGAAATGTTATCTTGCTCTCCCAAGCTATTGGAGCTCAATCTCATCCATGTAATCGAAGCTTCTTCTCGACTTCCTTCTTCCGAGTCAGTTGCTGTTGTCGCTTTGTCCCACCTTGCAGCATTCGTTCTCGACGAGGACATAAGAAACACTGTGTTCCTTTTGCGTCACCTTGTAGTCCCGGCTGCTTGCGCACTCACACTCAAAGTCTTTCATCGGACTCAACACGAGCTCTCTGATTTAGGGAGTTCGATTTGCGCGTCTCCGCCAATGGTCAGGCTCTGCGTGGAAGGAGAACCGACCTCGATCGTTATTCGAGGATATACCGAATCTGGCTCCGCTAGCCCTCACAGACAGATAGCTTTGCGCACCGGTGGA